ATGGGAAAAAAAGAGGAACAAATGTAATAATCTGAACAATAAAGATTTAATAAAAAAAAAAAAGAAAATGTAAAATATAGAGAAGCAAATACAGAACGAAAAGTACCTATACTAGATAATATCCTCCAAAACCCGATAAATAATGATCTTTTTTGGAATTCCTCTAATAAAATATCTTCAAGCATGAAATGCTCAAAAAAAAAAGAAATTTAACTTTCTTAAAATAAAAGAAGTTATCACAGCAGCAATATTTTACTGAGTACAGTCTTAAAAATGGGCACTTCTCTATTAACAACTAAAATTTTTTTAACTGTAACAGATTAATAAATTTGGCTTCTTGAAGATAATAATACCTTTTCATCCATTTCATCTTTTATTCTATTACTGCCCCTACTCCGGGCCTTGATGCTCTCTGCATTGCTTAAAAATAACTACTGGCACAGCAGTTGAAAGTTATGGTCTTTCCTCACAAAGATAGAGGAATAAGTCAAACTCCAATATGTAGACTTGCTTTTAGCCAATTAAAATATACCACAAACCAAATCGCAGTTCATTCAACAAATATCTATCGAATGCCTTTTTATGCCAAAAACTGTGCTAGGGAGTAGAATACAAAGATGACTAAGACAGTGCTGGGGCTCCAAGGAACTCAAAGGTCTAATAACAAAGCCAACAAATAGGCAAAGTATACATATATATTGTTATAAATTTTATGCGGTTGGTTTTTTGCATCTTAAAGGTGACAGGCACTTTGGTTAACTTAACGAAAGCTCACTGAAGCTCATTATTTATTGGCTACCTAGAGAGAGAATGTTTCTCATCATCCAGCATTTCTCTCTGCTGTCCACTGCAATGAAGCACACACTGTACACAGTTGTCTATAGAAATTCACTTATTTAACTTTTCAGGATTATATATATTTGATTATATATGAGAATCAACATTCTCAAATCGGGGAAAAACAGTTGCAGGGCTGATCAACGAAAATGATTTCACTTCCTTATTACTCTGCCATTGGGTAGAAGAAAACAAGAATCAATATGGAAAAGGCAAGTACATTAATATGGGGGGAGGGGGGAGTAGGGAAAATACATATTGATGCTATCACTGTTTCTTACAGAGAAGAATACAACTTTCCTCCTCCTGCATACTCCCCAACTAGTTTCATGACTCACAAATACCTTAACAAAGGCACTTTTAGGCATAAGTGAAAAACAGGTACAATATAAAGAATTTTTTTCAATCTGTTCAATATATGGATAGTAGCTATTGTGTATGCCAGGCACTATACTTCGCAATGGAAAAACAAAAGTAGTAGCAGTAGTATATGAAAATGCAGGAGAGGACTTCGAGGGGTATAAATGTTATCCATTAGGTAAAGAAGCCAAAAGATTTTGTAAAAGAGAGTGGCACAATCAAATCAATAGTTTAAGAATGTAACTCTGGGTATAACTTAGAGGCAGGGATATCAGCTTTGAAGCTACTAGCACTATATGAGTATAATAATTTCCCCATATCAACCCTACATATTATTCTTTTTACTTTTACTGATTTTTAGAGTGAGGAAGGGAAGGGGGAACGAGAGAAGCAATGATTTGTTGTTCCACTTATATATGCATTCATTGGTTGATTCTTGTATGTGTCTGGGCAGGGATCAAACCTGCAACCTTGGTATGTCGGGAGGACTAGATATTATTCTTTTTAATCTCCTTCTTCAGGAGGAAAAATAGATGTCATCAGACAGAAATCCCATCAACTTTTTACCATCAAACCTAAAACATCTACATCTAACCCCTCCATCTTCCCGGTTTTACAGCAGGAGAAGTTTTAAAACTTCTCTCCCCAGCAGTGGATCAGAGCTTTGCTACACAATGTGGGAATTTTCAAACCAACAGCTTCAGCCTTACCTGGTAGCACATTAGAAATGCAGAATATCAGACACCACACCAGACCAACTAAATCACAATTTGCAGCTTAACAAGATCCCCCAGGTGACTCACATTATGCATATTAAAGTTTTAAAAGCACTGCTCCTGACAAGAGCCAATTCTCTCCCGGTTTTTTGTTGTTGTTGTATTTTTTTATTTTTTTCAGAATCCTTACACTACGGATTATCCATTTTTTTCTCCTATCACTTTGACATTTAAAAGAAAAAGCCCACACTCCCATTCCAATCCAACTTCTCAAAAAAGTTTTTCGCATTCTGTCTCCATTTCTTCACTTTCTACTTACTCCTCAACCCATTCGGATCTGTCCTTCATCACCATTCCACTCCGAGTCCTCATTAAGATCAATGATCTTGAGAATGTTGCTAAATCCAAAGGACACCTTTTAGTCTTCAACCCTACTTGACCTCTCTCACCATATTCAACACAATTGTCCTTTCTCTTCTTGAATCATTTCTTTCCTGTGCTGGCATGTAAACGAATGATGCAAAAACAATCTGTAATAATAAAAGCATAATATGCTAATTGGACCGGACGTCCTTCCAGACAAAGCTGGGGCTGTGAGGGAAGCCTGGGTCCCGGCTGCCATCAGGCACCTGGGGGAAGGCCTACTCTTGCACAAATTTCATGCATCAGGCCTCTAGTGGTGGATAAAACTGTTGGTGCTTTAGTATGAATCAAGGTAGTGGCACTAAACTGTACTACAAGTTCTGGCATGGAAATTTTTAAAAACCAACTTTACTATAGAATAACATTGGTGAAGCAAAAGAAATCATTAATGTCACTAATCGCAAACCTTGAATACATTTTTTTAATATTCTACTTAAGGAAATGGGACGAAAGTATCAAGTACTTCTGCATACCAAAGAATGATGGTTGTGTCAAGGAAAAGTACTTGTACAACCTTTGGAGAGCCCAGCTCGCCACTTTTTTCATGCAACATCATTTTTACTTCAAAGAACTTCAAACTGTGGTTATGTAGACTTGGATATCTGGCAAACATTTTCTCAAAAATTAATGAAGTTAAGCCTTCCATTTCAAGGAAAACAATTTGACTATTTGTTGCCACTGATAATATTCAAGTATTCAAGCAAAAATTACAATTTGGGGAAACTTGTGTCTGCCACTGTGACACTCCCCAATATTTAAAGATTCTGGCCGAAACCGGTTTGGCTCAGTGGATAGAGCGTCGGCTTTCGGACTGAAAGGTCCCAGGTTCGATTCCGGTCAAGGGCATGTACCCAGTAGGAGATGTGCAGGAGGCAGCTGATCGATGTTTCTCTCTCATCGATGTTTCTAACTCTCTATCTCTCTCCCTTCCTCTCTGTAGAAAATCAATAAAATATATTTAAAAATAAATAAATAAATAAAGATTCTGATGAAATCAGTAGTCATATCAGCAAATGTGTTTTTGATATTTTGGATGACATATGTCAATTTAGGATATCTGTCTAACTCAGTAGACCAATATTTTTCACATGACCAGTAAGTGTATGACTTTACAAACTTAAACATGGGTTAAAAATCCACTCAATGTACAAGACAGACCAATAGATTTTAATGTAACAGTATGAAAAGTTCATTGATATGATTTCAGAATCCACATTTTAACCCTTAAGAGACTATTATTTGCCCAGTTCTGGTATGATATCAAAGGAGAATATCTATTGATGTAAAAAAAATCATTACAACATTCCTCTTTTTTTTCAACTACATATATAGATGGTTTTTTCATATATTTTAATCAAAACAACATAATGCAACAAATTGAATGCAGAAGCAGATATAAGAATCCAGCCAAATCCAAACTCATGACCTCAGTCCCTCAAAACATGGTCCTCTGTTCCAGTGTTCTCTCTCACTGAATGGCATCATCCATTGTAACCTGAATCATCCATGTTACCTCCTTTTTCACTCTCATATTCAACAAGTCCTATTTTACCTCCTAAATGTGTCTCCAATCTATCCACTTATTTATACTTTTATTACAGCAATCCTTTCTCTGACTCATAACCTAACAAGTCTACAAGCATTTGTCTTCAACTATTCTCCATAAAGCAGGTTATGTTTTTAAAAGAAAAATTTAATCACATCTCTCTTTCATTGCACTTCCCATCGCCTTGAGACAAAACCAAAAGCTTAGCATCCACTAAAGACCCCATGTGATATTGACCCTACCTCAACCCAGCTCTCCAGCAACTTTTCCTTGCCCCAGTCACATTAGCTTTTTCCAAGTTCCTCAGCTGAGGATTATTAGTTACTCACTTAGTAATTCATCTTCAATAATTATTCATTCAAAAATGAAGGCAATTAAAAATGCGTTATCATTTTAATAATACAGTATTTATCCCCACTTCAAAGAAATTAAGACAATTATATCAAATTTTACATCAACATCTCAAATATTTTCTATTAACTACCTCAAAATGGTATTAAAACAGCGTTCAGAAGAAAAACATGGCATTAATGGCTACTCTAATAATGAATTCTCTTTTACATTTTTGCATAAATTCTACATTTTAACCTCTGAATAAAATTGTTTAAACTGTCCAAACTTCATAATCTGTTTCTTCTATTCCAAAAAGTATGCCATATGGGTAACATCCAATTTATACCCTCCAAAACTGAAATTTACAAGGCAATGGTTTGCTGTAACAAAAGTAAGATGTCATGTGACTTAATACTTACAAAAAATTGGCAGTTATAAACATATGCTCATTATCATCTACATTTTCATATCGATTTCTAGTTAATTTCTTGGTACAGGCATAGTTACCTTCAAGTACCTGTATTTTAGCAGTTCATAACATATTTTGAAAATGAATCAACCAAGCTATGGTTAAAAATGTATTCCCTACTTATCCCTATTCATTCAACAAACACATATTTGTGTCATCACAATTATCATTACTCGACTTACTACACAGAAAAGTGTAAATGCAAAACTTTTTAAAAGGTAGCTTTAAAATTCTAAACAAACTGAAGTCAGCAAATAGTTGAAAACAGATGTCACTACAGCAACCCCAAAGGAAGATGATGAAGTGATGTACTTACGTTTCAAAACATCGATCCACGTTGTCAGACATCAGAAGCAGCATGCAGAGCTGTTCAAGTGCTATTAGTTGCATGTCCCTTTCATCTCCCTGTCCCATCTGTAGCCATTCCAGCAATGTGTCTGGATCCACATCTGCCATGTTTTCTTTTTTAAGCCTCTTTGCTTAAATTAAAAAAGGGGGGAAATTCCTTTAAATGTCCAGGATTGATCAGTTTGGGGTTTAAAATTTTTTCCTTTGCATCAGTGGGAACCAAATTTTCATGGTGTCCTCCTAGAAATTAGAAAAGACTCGTAAGTTATGTTTTTTTAACATAGTGCTTAGTGCACATAGTGCTTAGTGCTTTCAACTTTCCTTATTCCTCGGATTTAACGTTCATATAGCATACTAAATAAAACCCAGTTTTGCACAAGAGTATAAGCTGATTAGGTTTCGGCTTAACTGGAAACCAGAGCTCTTTGTCAAAGTCAAACAAGCTTCGGATCCCACTACTGCTATCGCTAACGTTTGTGCCAAAAGGCAAAGAACACCTTACTAAAGGTTCTTTTTTTTATTTTCCAGCGAACTTCTTTCCCACCCACCCCCCTCCCTCCACCCAAAACTGATCTTCAGATAAGGTTAGATTCGGACTCTAAGCACTTTGAACCATTACCCTCCAAATTAAGTTTCTGCTTTAAAATCACCTCTCAATTCACAAATTTGGCTGACTTCTCAATTTACCCACTACTATTCGTAAGATGTCCAAATACAAACGGCAATTACGTGCAAGATGCACCTACGAATACAGACTCGGTTAGGAATTTTGGCAGTCTTGTCAACTGCTCTTAAAAGTTTAAAAAGAAACGCTAGAAGTAAATACAACGAACTAAAACAGTACGATGAGAATATAGGCCCATCTAAGCACCTCTTTCCCCATCCCCACAGAATGGAGCAGTTGGTGAAAACAAACACACACACACACACACACACACACACACACACACACACACACGGGAACCTGCTCCAAAAGGAAAGTCATTACCAAAGCCTGTAAGCGCCCTAATGGAGGGCAGCTCTGGGTCCCACGTAAGCCAGAGCTGCAGGTGTGCGAACCCCGAGGCGGGCCCGGGTGGGCACCCATCGGCGGAGAACGGCAGGGACGGCCGACCCAGCTCCCGAGCGCAGCAAACCCCGCTGGGTGAGCTCCCGTGACTCGGCGGGGAGCCTGGAGGGGCGGCAGCAAAGCCTCCGCGCCCGAGACGAGGCCCCAGACAGGACGGCGCGTCCCGGGGAGCGGCGCCCAGAACTCCCGCGGCCTGGCGGGTCGTCCCCGGCGTGGCCGGGCAGCGAAGCCCTCTGAAGGGCAAGGCGGAGAAAGGGGGGGCGCCTTGGGCTCCGGCTCGGGCAAGCGGGGCTTCCGCCGCCCGGAAGAAAAACAAAGGGTCCAAGCGGGTGAGTCGGCAGGAGCCCCGCCGACCTCGCCAGGGGCCGGGGTCTCGCTCCCGGCCGCCGCCCGGCTTCCTGATCTCGGCCCCGAAGCCTCGCTCTTCCGACCGCCCAGATCGTTCCCGCTTCCTCTTCCCTCCTGCTCTCACCTGGCCTCTTAGTCTTAAACCTCTCCTGTTTAGCTCTTTTTTTTTTTTTTTTTTTTTTTTTTTTTTTCTTTTTTCGTCTTTTTTTTTTTTTTTTTTTTTTTTCTTTTCTTTCCTATGATTTTTTTGTAAAGTGATACTAAAGTTCAATGATTTTCCTGGTCTTTTTTTTTTTTTTTTTTTGTGTTGAAAAAAAAAAATTTTTTTTTTTTTTTTTTTTTTTTTTTTTTTTTTTTTTTTTTTTTTTTTTTTTTTTTTTTTTTTTTTTT